GGAATGCTTCGCCAATAGAGGGGTTTCGGAACACAAGGCTCCGAATGTTTGCAAGAAATATTCCATCACTGGGCTTTTCCAGGAATTATGATCAAGGTCCAGCCAAGCAGGCACTGCAGCCTGGAAGGTTGCTCGAGCAGTTAGGCTCTTCCGTCTCTCGAACTGCTCCAAGGTTGGGGCAAAGCAACGCAGAAGAAAGTTGCAAACATCCTTTCTGCCAGGAGTCACAAGGAGTTGGGTGGTGTGGCTCGTCCCATCCAGGGGCCGTGGATGTGACGTTCGGGGCACCTATACTCCGAACCTCTGTTCGTTCGGCTCCCCGAGCTCTGTGACACCTTTCTGGGGACGACCAGGACTTTCCCACTTCCCTTCCGTCCTGCATGGTCTAGTACAAATCTAGAATCTAGAATCGATCTCAATTCTTGTTGCAAAACCAGTGGGTTGACCATCGCAAGGTTTCTCTCCAAAAGCTGACCGGTCCGCGGCTTCGGCTCCAGGCTGAGCCCCCTTAGCTAGCTAGCAGTAGAGCCCAGGCTGCTCCGTTCGCGATGCGATGCACCTGGTTACCTAACCGCCGTGAACGGCGCCTCTCCTGCACGCGCTTCCGCTCCGCCAGCTTCTTCTGACGCTCCTGGTGGACCCGCGATGGTTCACCGAACTGTCCACCAGTTCATTTGAGTGGGGTGTCTCCAAATGTCCGAAGGTGACCTGCAAGTTGATCTGCTTCTTTCACGCCCCACTCCGCGCAAAGGCCAGTTCCAATTGCCCCCATGACCCAGCTCCAAGCTGCTGGAATCCACCGGAAAAAGGAGCAGATGTTCTACAATGGATTCTTGGCCCAGCATGGTTTATGGTTTCCCGGACGCGACCCTGGACCCTCAACTGCTTGTTTGAGGGTCTGAGGGTCAAAACCCTAGCTATTCGGGTCCAATGAGCGTTTGGGTTGAATCTACAACCATTGTTTGACGAAGCATGTGATCATGTTTCGACCTTCGATTGCACCGGAGATTGATGGACCTTCAACGGAAGGTGTCAGGTGTCGGGACGTGCTCTGCACTGAGGGACCGGCGCCATCCATGCGTTTCGATGGCGGGACCGCGCACCGTCCATCCTCGTTCTTCTGAGCTGTCTCCAACTCCTGCAAGTCAACTTGGCTCGAAGACCGGAAGCTGCCGAATGTTTTGAGGGGTTCAATGAAGGGGTATGTTTGGCCTGGGAAACTTGCTTAAGGCTTTTAGAATCCTGGGGGAGGATCACTTTGGCAGCATCTTGCCCCAGTTTGGGAGTCCTCCGTCGGCAGCAAAAACGCGTGGACGCGTCGTTTCCCCACCCGTTGGTCGATGTGTTGGTCCGAGGGGAAGCCAGGCTGCTTTCGAACCAGTCCTCTCATGACTCGTTTTACCCCCCATGGCAGTGGTGGATGGATTAACTACCAAGTGGATAAAAATGAGTCAAGTCACGGAAGTTCGTAAACAGGAAGCCAGGAATGCGTTTCTCGGCAGGCGGCAGGCGGCAGGCTAGTGGAAGAGGGGCGGCCGTTTCTCGTCGCGAATCCCAATGCTGGCTGAATCACTGGTTCGTTGGGCTTCCAGCTCATTCCCCCTCTCATGCTTTTTGGTTATATACCAATCTCCTTCTCCCACCAACCCAATCTACCAAATCCACCGAAGCATGCTCTAATCCTCTGTAGTTCCAAGAATTCCATCGAATACCTGTCTTTCCCGCACGTCCAGCAAGAAGCAGCACTTGGACCCGCACGTCCGCCTCTCTTTTGCAAACAGGTCTTCGAAGTGATTCATGCCGTACTCTGTATGACCCCCAAGTAAACCCCCGTTCCTCCTTCTCACCCATCTTCTACCACCAAAATCACCTCCCCACCCCGCGCCCGGCGTTTGCGCGCCCGCGCTTTGCGCGCCCGCGCTTTGCGCGCCCGCGCCCGTTTGGGATCCCGCTCCTTCACTCGGCTCATGAGCTCTGGATCCCGCTGGGGCGATTGCCCTCGTCCACCGCGTGCCGTGGCGGGCCTCATCCTGACCGGTGTCCCGCCCGGCGTCGATCTGGCGTCGATCTGGAGGGCGGGGGCCGTGGCTTCGGGTCCGTGGCCAAGCCCGGGGGCCTCCAACTTCGGGATTAAACATGATGCTCAGAGGGAGGGCGGAGGGTATGAACCTTGGTTGAACTTGGTTGAGACCAATTTGTGGAAACTATAAGGTATACCAGGAAAAGTGGACCAAGGACCAGGTCTTCGAATGTCAGATTACCAGGTGCTTCAATTCCTCCCATCAGGTCATTGAGGTCATTAAGGGGTTAATGTAGACTGCTGATGTAAAAAAACCTCCTGTAGGCACATGTCAAACCATTCTGGAGTTGTATACATGGGTCCATTCATCAACAGTCAACGGTGTGCAGGAGCCATTTCCACTTGCTTCTCCTTTTGGCGTCCTCCTGTCTGTGCCCGAAATTCATCCAACATGTCAAGGCACGCAAATATGTCGCAAGGATCAAAGGGTGCTGCGGTGCTCGCGCGCAAGCGGCGGGTGTCGTTCAGCCAAAAGGGTGCTGCGGTGCTCGGCGTCGACCCCGTCGACCCTCCAGAACCGGGTGCACAGGCTCCACAGGGTTTCGGTGCCACAGATGGCATGATCAGGCCACATGAGTTGATGAAAAACGGTCTTTAGTAGGCAACCATGGTTTTTACGAATTTGGTCATTGAACGCTAGGCCCTACAGGAAGATTAAACAGGAAAGATGAAACTATGTCGATTTCACCGGCAGCAATATATTTATCCCCTACCAGCACCCTCCAACAAGTCACCAATCCTCTTAGTGCCTAACTAGCCTCCAAAGGAGACCTGTAGTGTCGGGAGCTGGTAGATGTTCGCTCACGCTCCCCAAGAGCACATGGAGAAACAAGTGTCTGGACACTGACCCCGACTCATTCGAAGGTTGAGCCCCAACATCTTCACATTGGAATGAAACACCAGTTGGCTATCAGAGTTGGACGGACCCCGGACTGGACCAAACAGATCCGTCCCGAGAGTCCAACGGCCGATCCCGTCGTGGAAAGAGGGCGTGGCGTGGCGAAACCGCAGGAGGAGGGAGCCTCACTTTTAAAGCTGGGGGAAACCCCCAGTCCCAACCAGAAACAAGTCTGGATGCTTCCGGATGAAGCCTAAACCACTGATCCGGTCTTTTCCGGATCTGAGGGGTTGTTCAACCAGCGCCTGGAGGATGAGCTTTGAAACCACCAGCACTTGACTCTACGTGTGGGTGGGAAGGGCCCTGTTAGAGGTCAAAGTGTGGCCTGGCGATCCCAGTCGTTTGCGTCTCACCACGAACTCCCCAGCCCCTGAGCCAGGCCTTGTTGAGCCACGGACGGTCGGAAAGCGTCTCGTCGTCGTTCGGCAGGTCGTTCAATCGATACCCCCCGCCTCTCAGCTTAGAAGGATCCCATGCGGCATGGTCTATAACCGGTCCGCCTGGCACGAACCGTCTCCCACACTGTCCAGATCCAGAGATGGACGGCCAACGGTCAAACGGCACTGTCGTTCCTGTCCCCTGGAAAATCTCGTGCACATGTTGCTCTTCGCTTGTTGTGTGTGAATTTCTCATCCTTGCTATGGAGGTGCGAATCAATCAAGAAACTCTGCTTCAGCTTAAGGCATGAAACTCACTTGGTGACCTATGCTTACGGATCTTCGTTTTGTCCTTGAAGAATCAAAGAAAACCACATGGTGGTGGCTCAGCTAACCTGGTCGAGTGATCATTTTAGCAATGAGCAGTTTTGCATCGCCCTTTATGACACTGGGCCATAGTCATCTTCGGACATTCCGAGCCGACAGTCCGCTCCGGCGAGGAATGTAGAATAGCAACAACTGCATTAACTGTGATCAGTGAGCAAACACCTATTAACTGGTTTGCTAACCTGCTTCTGGTTGAAGCCACCTCCGATCTGAGAGACCGAGAGACCGGTCAGGCCTGGTCAAATGAAGAATCCTGCAGCCCGGATGATACCAATATATTGGATATATTGGAACAACCATCTTGTTTCTGATTGTTGGCTTTCCAGGTATGCAGCACCCTCACTGCCAGGTCACCCATGCAGACCTCCAACAGGGCCCAACAACAACGCCCTCTATTTCGGAGACCTTCTTTGAGTCGGGTGCTGGCATATATTGGATAAATGAATCGCTTTGTAAATCCCTCGCAGCTCTTCATTGCCAGAGGTGAAGCCCCCAAGGACACATGACTCACATCAACCGAACCCGCGCGCGGTGATGACTCAACATGTCGTGCTTCACAACATGCACTTACACCACAGTCCAAGCACGTATAGTCTAGTTCCCAATGAGTGGCACTTCCTCTGCGGACTAACCCGCTGGGAGAGGTTTCAGTGGAGTGAGTGAAAACCCCCCCTGGAAATGGTCGAAGACGCATGGTCTTCCTTACTCGGGGTGCCATCTCGGTCTTCGCACCTTCGGTTTTCTTCGGTCTTTCGGGGGGGAGGAGAGGTTCTCCGGACTGGCGCCCAAAGGGTCTGGCAAAAGAAATTGATTGTACCAGGGGTCACAAGTCGGGGTGGTGTTTGTTTAGTCCCATCCAGTGAGTGGTACGAGTATGTGTGAAACTCCTGGTATATAAACAATGATGATGTCATATCCCAGGACCTTCCAAGATCTAGAGGTGCCTATAAATAGGTATCCATTGAGGTTAGGAGTCCCAAAACCACCGAATTTGGAAGGCCCTGGTCATCATGTGCTCCGTCCTACGTTCCTCACCACAGCGACACCCACCGACGCGGGCGTCTCACCGGCGCCATCACCAACTCCCAGACGATTCCGTTCCAGAGCAAGTCTGGTCGGACGGAATAAAAAACCACTGAAAACAAGGAACTTCCTTTGCTGAAAACATCGGTGGACTGTTTGAACTTGGACCAAACTGCCATGGCACCTCCCAATGCTCCATTTTCTAAACCTCCTGCGATGAATTGCAGTCACAGGAGCCCTACCTGCATGGCCAGCCCCGGGCGGCTAGGCAAGAAGCAAGGCGCCCAAGGGCTGCAACCTTTCTAGGTTCCACACGGCCTTTCCCAGTACGGCCGGCGCCGTACATAGAGAGAGCCCACCTGAACAACACCTGAACCTCACATTCCGGTTACACCTGCGCCACGCACGCTCTTGGCATCGCCAGCCGCCGATGGAGCTGGCGTCGTCGCACCCAATTCCGGTGAAACGGCGAGACACGCGGCGCTTCGGCCGCCCGAAGGGGGGTCCTCAGCGTCTGAGCCTGAGAACCAGACGGTACGAGAAGCGAGCGTGTGGTTCCGTGTGCGTTCAATGCTGTTGAACACATGGATCCCTTTGCACAGCTTGCTGGGAAAGCTGCAGAACGACCCGCTTCCGGGCCAATCTTCCCGGGCTGCCGCGCACGCCGTGTCCCGAGCGTCCACTGCCCGGACGAGGTCCGGCGGGCATGGTGCCTCGGTGTCGCATGCGCCACAAGGACCCTGGCGACCTCGGGTCCAGGTGCTTTATGTGGTGCATTATAAAGCCGGGCTAGGGTTCTAAAGCCAGCTCTGGAAGTCCCGGTGGATAGGCTACAAAAAGAGGATATTGGAAAGCATCGTATCGTCCACAGATTGGTGCCACCTCAAAAATGCATGTGCAATTGTGGCAACCAGTGTGAAAACAAGCCTTGAAGAGACACCAAGGCCCCTTGGCAAAGGCCCCTACTGACGCTTATAGTAGGGAATATTGGAATGAGCTCCCAAGAGCGATTCCTTTGCATCCAGTCACCCTCATTCCGTACGACACGCACCAGTCAGATGTCTGCCCTGGACCCAACCAACAACGGCCCAGGTCGCCCAGGAAGAGACCGACAGCATGAGTAATGCTGAACAACCCCCAAAGTAAGGAGACCTATTGGTGTAGAGTTGGGTGCTGGATGGATTCGCACCAGTGAATGTCCCGCGTTTTTCCACATCTGATCCATTGAACTTCGTTGAACGTTGTTTTATCCTTGTGAGTCCAGTACGTGTGAGTCCCCATAGACCGAGAACGTGACCTCTTTTGGGAGGGAGGCCATCGCTGGTAAAGACCATCGCATGCAGGGTCCGAAATGTGTGTCTCAAGGCCAACTCCTGATCTCGTTCTATCTCGAGACCGACGGTCTCAAACGGGCCTCTTCCAGAGCTCAAACGAAACTGCTTGGCCTCCAGACAGCATGTTTGTGTGTTCGCGTCAGACCCGCACAGAGCCCCGCCGAACCGCCTTGACCTGCCTTTCCAAGGCCTCGAACGGAGGCCTTTCTGCCGCCTTCATCCAAGTCACCCTCAATGACCTCCGGGTAGCTTTGAAGCATCTCCTCAAAACCTCAAACAACCACGCGTGGACTGGAGAAGTGTGGGAGTCATCCAGTGGGGGGAGTTCACCTTGAGGAATTGGAAGGCACCCAAAAACCTCCCTCCTTTCCAATCAAAACAAGGATCATCTCCAGGTTGAAACTCCTTTGACGAATAAGGATGGCATGCCAGAAGAGGTTTTGGATGAAGACTCCCTTGACCAGACCTTATAAAAGATCCGCGCGTGACGCCCGGAGCGCCGAGTTCTCCCCTACCAAGTTGCCGTGGAACGACTACCACCCTCCAAGCTCCGGAGTGGAACCCGGTGACTTCGGGGTCCAGGTTCACCAAATCTTAAAACCGGCTCCGAACACCACCCCCCCCGGAAGGTCCTAGCATAGATACCAAGTCTGAGATTTGGAGCTCTACAACGTCTCAGATCCGACCGAAGCCAAACGCTGAGCTTCCCGTCCGCCGGTCAGCGCGTGCACATTCTCCCAGCCCTCGCCGTGAAAGCAACACGTTTTGGAAACAAGATGTACCAGTATATACCTGGAAACCCAGGCACTATTAGGTTGGAGGCCATCGCTTCTAGGTTGGAGGCCGTCGCTTCTAGGTTGGAGGCAATCCCTATTAGGTATCAAAGTGGAACTAGTCCCAGCCACTTCCTATGTAAAGGATCTCAAGCTGGCACCATATTGGAACCACTACCAGCACCCGACTCTACAGGTCTCCTCTAGAGGGTTGTTGGGCCGTGACAGGTCTCGAGTGATGCCCTGCTGGTCCAAGTGTTTTTGGTTGGGAATTGTTTTTAGAATAGTTTGAGGGCGCATGAGTTGTATTTGATAGGACAAAGAAGAGAATCGACCGGATTCAGATTCCAGTTGTGGGTGACTGCGAGTTCTGGATGGCCCCTGATCTTTTCTGTCGAGGAACACATCACACAGAACCATTATACTCATTGCTCTATCAAAAAGCACGTCACGGAGTCGCAGTTCAACGTGAAAAAAAAACTGCGCTCTCTCTCTCTCTCTCCCTACGAAAGCCGGCCGGGGTTGTCTCCGACCGGCGAGGCCGAGGGCGAGGCGAAGCGGGAGGTGAAGCGGCGCCTTTTCCACCAAGAGCCGTGCCACGCCGATGGTCACCGCCTCGTTGGACCCGTAGACCACCTCACGCGAAGAGCGAAGGTGGAGCGGCTGGGCGTCCATCCCGGGTTCCCAGCTCAGCTGAGAGCGGGACGGGGACAGGGACAGGAAGAGGGACCCCGAAGCAACGGGGAAATCCAAGGGAAAACCGAACAAAGAGGGCGGATTTCGGGCCATCCAGGCCAAGTTGATGAAAAAAAAAGAGACAAACCATCCTTCTTCTTGCTTGGGTGCAAAACCTGTCCAACACAACCCTGCTCAAAATGCAAAAAATGGATCGACCCAAACAGTGGATTTCTACCAAAGCAATCCCATCTCTGGAGAACATGGTTCCGCCACAAAACATGTAGTCTACTCTCTTCCCACGCTGTGTACCCTCTCCCACATTCTAACACCAGGAGCCACATGTCGGGGTGGTGTCTCTAAGTCTCCTCCAGTGAGTGGATGTTCCGGGCATTCCTATCCTCCCCGGTCCACGGCACCGGTTTGAAAAAACAGGGATTTCTTGTTGTCTGCGAGTTGTTCGTCTTTTGAACCTCAAACCTCACGACCTCTGGGTGCTCCGGCCAGCAGCTTCGAGGGCTCCCTCTTGCAGCGCAGCAGCTCAGGGATAAACTGGTCCTGGCGGTCAACGCCCCGCGTCGCCCCGCGTCGCCCACGGCCGGTCCACGTGTTTCACGTCCCAAACGGTCCTGGGACGGGCCAGTGGCCAAAGGGGCGGAGGGACAGAGGATGGGTCGAAGTATGCAGCATTCTATGTTCTTCTATGTTCTTCTATGTTCTTCTTATCCATTCTCATCCATTCCTCCAAGGTGGAGATCTTGGTGGGACAAGCGATCTGAGATTAACATACCAACAGTTCAGGCCGATCACCTGTAGTAGGCCTATAACAGGGGAAACTCGCACACTGAAGAGTTGGGACTTGAGAACTGACCAGGCCCTACCCTCGTTCTGGGCCCTACAAGACACAAATCTCAGGCCGGCCCAACTAAATCCACCTACAGGAAGCGATTGGATGCAGCCCTAGCCTTCCTGGCCCATTGATTCGGATCGAATTCCGAACAACCATTGTTGTACATGTTGACACAACACCTGGTCCACCGCGTTCAATATGTTCGATTAAATGGACTCCCAGGGTACTTGGGTCCATCTCTCTCTCTCTTCCAGTATCGGACTTCCACCCGACCGAGCGACCGGCTCGCGCTCGCGACCACGTTCACGCCGCGAAGAAACGCCCGCGGAACGCCGCGTTCGTTCACCCGTCTCGATTGATCTTTGGGGCTGGGTAGGACACGGCCAGCGGCAAGTGGCACTGCTCAAACCTCGGATCGAGACTCTTTGGGACTGGCCAACGCTGGGGACGGCGGCTCGACCGGCTGTCGCACCTGAAGGTCTTGGGCACCGATCGCCGGACCGAACAGTTTTACACTACAACACCAGGCTCGACGTTTTAAAATATCGTCTTGGAAGACTAGGCCATAGGGATACCGAACAACCCTTGTTTTTTACTACATGCAAGGTTTTACAGTTTTAAACCATGATCAACAAGAGGTCTTTAAAGATGTTAAAGGCTAGGAAGACCTTGGATGAACGTGGTGCAGGGCTTTGTGTTATAAAAGCGGGACCCGGAACGGATGATCCAGTAAGCTTTGCTCCGGTTTTCTCGAGCGAACCCGCTTCGCTCCTCATCTTCTAGGTGAGGAGCTTTCTTTACTTGAATGGGGCAGAAAATAGTCAGTCACGAAATGTCTTTCACCAGGCGTCTTTCACTGGCGTCGCGGGTCTGGAACCTTCGCCCTCCCGTGTGCGAACGTCAGGCAAGTCAGGCAAGAAGAACCGAGGAGACCGACTCGTCAGGCTCTCGCAGATCCAAGAGCACCAGGTCTCGCTCCTGGAAACGGACAAATCCGAACCAAGCAGCTGGCGGCGAATCGCGGTTGCCAGTGAGATGAGGTGGTACGAAGACGTGGAAATCATGATACATCCATCGACATGCTGTGTGACCAAGCAAAAGCATGTGACTTCTACCAGTACCCGAAATCACATGTGGTCTCCGAAATGGAGATCTCAACTTGGTGAGTTGGAGGCTGCTGGTAGAAAAAAGGACACCTTCAGGTGTTGGTACAGTTGGAGGCGCTGGTGGGTGCCAAAAGCGCTTTGACCACGTTCACTCGCTTTTGCCTGCGTCGCTCCGTTCGTCCACCCGCTGTTTGTCGGTGATGGGAGGTCGAGCATCTCCACACCCGTTGTCCATACCTGCAGCACCTGCGGTGCCCTGTGCCAGGCACCAAATCCACCGGAAAAACCGGCGAAGAATGCCGTCGACACAGGTCCTCCTTTGGGACGTTTGGCCTGAAACCCAGTTCCAACCAGAAACACGTCTGGTGGTTCCAATATGGTGCCAGCTTAGAGATGCTTTTACATCGAGCAACCAGTTGCTGGGACTGGGCACTGGGGGAGCTCCACCACGTCCAAGCCCTTGAGTCCCACGCCTCGGAGACCGTGGCGTCGGTTTCCACGATGCTCACCACCGACCTGCTTCACAGAAAGTGAAGTGTGTCTCAACTACGTACAGTAGGTGTCATTTTGCAAGAACAATTATAAGAATGACTTCCTGGCAGTGCTGATGACGTGCTGATGACGTGAAATCCACAACATGGATCTTCGAAGTAACTTCCCTGCAAAAATAAGAAACTCTTCATACGTCCCCGGAATCTGCCCATCTCAGGGTCGCTTGGGGGTCGACGTCGCCACCATCTTAAAAGAAAGAATCAGAAAGTGGCAGCCGTGGCCCATCTTGGTGTGGATCCGGCGAGAAAGCCACCCAAAGAAGGCCCGCATTCGTATGATAAATATGTGTTCGAAAAGAATAACACATGAAAATGCTGTGGCCAGACCTTCTGATCTTTTCTTTCCTGAGGCGTATCAGGCTTCGCTCGCCCTCAAGTTCAGGCGTACTGCTCCCGCTCGCCCCGGCGTCATCGCCCCCGCGCGGGGCTTTTCGGCGGCTCGCCGGCTGACGTTGGCCAGCCGGCGAACATGCTGGCGACGGGTGAGGAGATGTTCAAGAACCCATAGTCCAAAAGATCCAATTGCACAAACTGGTGAGATGACGGAATGTGGTTTGTCGGCCACATAGCCGTTTGGAGGTCCAGTTTGATCGTCCGAAGGTTCCTTCACCCGGCTCAACTATGGACAGCCGCTCACGAAGGCCCCTGTTGAGGGCAGCCTGGTCGGAGCAAAAAGCTGCGGGTGCAGGTCGGAATCCAATCAGTTGGGACCGCCAACCACATATCCCAGCACCCGACTTCACAGGTCACCAATTGAGACCTGTTAGGGCGACAACAACAACCCTACATTTCGGAGACCTGTAGAGTCGGGCGCTGGTGGATGTGCATTTCAATAGGGAAATGCCCCAACCCAGCAGATTTGGGTTCATTGTTTTCTTGAGCGGGTTGAACTGGGAGGTTTTCTTTTTAATGCACACCCATATGTCCACGATTCGTGGCACGATTCCCTACATTCCCAACCTGACCAAATTCAATAATGCAAGTATGAGCTTCCCTTTGCACTCGCAATCAGAACAGTCTCATGTGCAGCCAGACTACCATGCACCAACCAAAAAAGAAACACGGTGAGCTCTGCTGTGAACACTTGGAACACCAAAGAACTTCTCTAGCACCCTTCGCTGTTCGCGCCGTGCGTTCACTGTGGAGTCTTAGGTGACGGCCTTCAGCGAAGGGTGGCAACCTGGAGAGTTGAGGCAACAGCATCCAGGACCTTCAGTTCGTGACCTCAAAACTGAAACCTCCTTACTAGGAGCAAGAAGCTACTAGGGGCTCCTCCTGGCGCCTCCTCCAACCTCTGAAGAGGGACGATTCGTTTAACCGAAAGTCCGAAAGGATCGCAAGCACTGACTCTCTGCCTGAAGGTTCTGGATGCCTTTTTCACTGGGTGTCGGGTTCGTGTCTTGATCATTGAACTGGTCCAAAGGTCTGTGAAATTCTTCCATTTCCGCAATGTCGCGGCTTCCCAAACGAGCCCCTCTTCGCCGGCCTGGCGCGGCTGCCGCCGGCCGCGGGCTTACAACAGCCGCCGGCTGCGTGCTGACTTCCTGGGCGGCTGGAGGCCTCCAGGGTCGACGCGTCCAGCAGCTGGTCGACGTAGTCGGGCATGTGCTGCAGAAAATCCCAACCTCGCGGGCGAAGCGAAACGGGCCTTTTCCCGCCCTGCATTTTTTGGGGCTTGCACGAAAGCATGTGCATTTTAGTGAGTTGTACAGTTTGTACACTTTTCATATCTTTTCATCATAAAGGTTGTTGAGGTTGCCAATTTGGCTGTGGGTCACGGCACCCGATCAAGGGCTTGACCTAGCTGGAGAGCTACCGTTTGCGGACCATGGTGGACTGGTCGGGCTCTGTCATTTGACCACATCGACCGAGAGACTGCGACCAACCGTGGAGAGCAGGAGACGATGGCCTCCCCCTACTAGCGATGGCCTCCTGAAAAAATCTGCTCCTTGACCCCCGGTATAGAGACGACTTTGACACGGTCTACACCCCTCAGAGCTACAAACATGGAGGTGTCTCCCGATGCGTGAATCATGGAACGTGACCCCTGCCAGATGCCCATCCCGACAGCTATAGAATATAAGCTATGGTTCCAGTCTTGTCCCATAAACCGATTCTTCAAGCTTGAAAGTGGAGTTAATGAGCCAATTGCTCGTGCATCTTGCATCCCTTCCCCTTCCCTTCTCCCAGAGGCGTGTCCAGGGCTCTTTCATGGGCGCAGAGCCCCGGAAAACCGGCCGCTGCGGCATTGGCTTCAACAACTTGCTCTTGGCTCTCTCAGGCGCGTCGTGGTGGCGCTTGGGCTCCTCTGCGGCGCAGGTCTTTTCCATGTACCTCGAGGCCCAAACACGTCGTCCGCGTTTTGGGCGACGTCCACACACCCCGGCGGTTTCCTTCAGATGGGGCGGCGCCGCTGTGGTTTCCAAGTTCAGGTCACCAATCTCAAAGAGGAGTAGTATGGAGAAGGGCCCAGGGCGGCTTCCAAAGGGATCGATCATAGAACGATGTGTGGAAGCGAGAAAGAAATTGACATTGTTTGTTTTTGCCAAAGCTTAGGATCAATCACCCAGTTCGGAAGCAAAACAAGGCCCCTATGGTCCGCATGCCCCAAAAAGTATGGTCCAAGCACCTGAGTACGTGCTGTGCCACGGCCGACGGCGGCTTGCGTCCGAGAACGGCCCCACCATAAGTGAAAGACCCTCGATCATCCTGGGATCGATCTGAAAAACCAATGCAACATGTCTCGCGGGTTGGGTGAATGAAAGGGCAATGGAAAAGGCATATATGTAGAGCCGGAAGAGATAGATATGAAGGGATGTCGATGACATGTCGACCCCCCTGGAATCCATGTGGCTTGGTCATGTTCTTCAGAAAGCGCTCGCATGCACCTTGTCTTTTCGGTGACGAGACACCCATCGTCAGGTCTGGAATCTTTGAGTGGGGTAACAAGAACTGCTCTCGACCGAGAGTAAAGCGAACTTGAACAGGTCACGTCGGCCTGGCGGATCGTCGAAGGAGGAAACTTGACCGGGACCGTACTATCTTTGGACGCTCCTGCTAGACCAACCAAGCACTGCCCACCCCACATGAGATACCAAAACAAGATCGAGGTCTGGAGGGGGGCGCCGACCGGTCTCATGAGACACGATGAGACGTTTCTCTTTTCGGGCAAAGGACGGAACCCGTCGGAGGAGGCAGATCCCCTGGAAAAGAGCTGATGTGGGGAAGTGGATCCCCAAACAAGGTGTTGGCCGGTTTCCGGATCCCCTCCTTTCCGGATCCACGAGCTTCGATGGGCGTTGACGGCGGCGGCGCCGCGCCTCTCTTCTCCGTCACCGCGGCCGCGGACGGCGGCGGCACCGCCGCGCGCCGCAGGCGCGCGCGCTGCACGCGCAGCGAGCGGCCGCGGCTGGGTGGGCGGGCGGCGGTGGGGCTCAAGAGCTCCTGCTCCAAGGTGGAGAAGTCCTGGCCGGCCGTCCGGCCCATACACCTGAAGGGACCTGGGAATCAGGACTCGGGGAGAAAGCTCTAGAAATCGAATAACATCTCGCAAAAAGAGAGATCGATCTTTTTCAGCGCTCCCGTCCGGGGAGGAAACAACACTTGATGGTGTGAGAGGAAGCGTGTCTTTGGAGCATCCCAATGCATCCCATCGTCCGAAACTCTCAAGACTCTCCAGTAGAAAAAGCGAAAAGACATCAAGACTAAGACTCTCTGGGACCTGAAAAAGTGGCCGAACTTGATCTCCCAGTTGGTTCGGTCACACGTTGGCGAACGGGCCTGGGAAAGACATGTCACTGGCGCCTCCGTCACGAACTGAAGAAGCTGGAACATGTATCCTCCCTCCAGCAATCATGGAAGCTGACCAGGACCCCGTTGTAGAGGAAAATGGTCTTCTAGGGGCCGATGTTCCACTTCCATGATGGTTTCAGGGAGTGTAAAAATTACTGGTGGGCCAAGCTTAGCTTGGGGACATCCTTGGGTGGCTGGGTAGATGCGTCTCCATCCTCTCAAACCTCCCCAACCCAACCAGACTCTGCGTGGCACGCCGTCACCCAAGAAGTCCACCGAAGTCCACCCCACCGACGGTACCACCCCGTCCCAACCAGAAACAAGTCTGGATGTTTCCCCAGTCCATCCCACCACCAGCCTCACTGCACCGCTGGCTGTAGGGAATGCTCCGCTGGATGCCCTCCCGGTAGTCCGACTTGTGCACGTGCTTCGACAAGGCGTAGCGCAGCATGGAGCACTCAAAGGCCAAGGTGCCATGCATGGAATGCATGATGAAAACCCAGGATGCGGCCACGGCTTGCTACGACCGGCTGTGACTTTCTTTTGTTTTCGGGTGCACAGACTGCTCTTTGCAGAAAGCTCGCGACAGTCTTGAGGGTGGAAGTAGAAATCCAACATTGGAGGACATCAACACATGCTTCGTTTGTTTCAAGGACCGGTGTCAAACGCGATGGTTCACCAATCGGTCACGGGAAAAAGAAATGCCGCTTCAGCATGCGACGGTCTTTAAGGATGTTCACTGACACACTGCTGAAGCGGGCAAAGACTCTGATGGTTGTGCAACTGGACCATGGTCAAAGTCGTGGGAGGCTAGTGCGAAACTGTGATAAGATTTGTTGATATTCTTGGGTTGTGTACTTGTTTGATCTTTTGGGGGGCAGCTCAGAAATGATGAATACCCCCAGTCTTGTTTTTGGAGGGTGATTCCCATGCCCCCTCTCTTCCATCTGGGCCGGTCGCATGTCAAATATGTGCTCTGGGTGAGATGGCAGCTTGAGCAGGAAGCAATGGCGTGAGGCCACCGTTATGTTGGGTCGACGCTTCGTGGAATGCTCCATCGTTCCCTGGTCCAGCTTGTAGGGTCTCAATTGATCTCAATTGGTTGGTTAAAGGGAAGATCTGCAAGAAACCCATGGGTGTCACCAGTTTTCTATGGGTGTCCGGCCGATTGTCCCTTATATATATATAATAAACCAATTTGGCGAACGGCTTTAAACGTGAGAAGTTGGGTCTACAAGAATCCAGGCTCCAAAGATGTTGGGAGCAGGCGCCTTTTCGATGCACGTTCCAATGTTCAAGCATGAAATCCCACATATACCAGCACCCGACTCTACAGGTCTGTCTCCTCGTTGGAGGAGACAGTTGGAGGGATGCTGGTCATGTGTTTGTTCGATGCCTTGGCCTTGCTCGAATCCCATGTCAAAACGTCTCCCAAACTCTCGCCAAACCCTTTCAGACCCCGAACCTCCCAGAGTCGGACGGGATCCGCCTCCCCACGTCCTTCGATCCGTCGAAGTCGAAACCTCTTCCGGTTCCCACGAAGGAATGGGGCGGACCAACTGGTTGTTCATTCTCCTCCGGATCTCGGGGCGTTCTTGCTCCTAGTAGCGTGGCCAGGAGCCCCTAGTAGTTTCTTGTTCCTAGTAGCGTCCTTGTTCCTAGTAGTACGGCCAGGAGCCCCTAGTAGCATCCTTGCTCCTAGTAATTAGCGTGGCCAGGAGACCCTAGGAGATAGTTCTTATATCTGTGGACCGTCCGGCGAATTCTGACTCTGTCACTCGAATCCGACTCGATCCTTTCTTCAGCCAACGAGTCGTGCCCACCCACCCCAACGACACGACCCGGCTCCCACTCGACCGTGGCGACCGTGGCGACGACCGTGGCTCTTCTGGGTGCCCGACCCCGCGACGGAGGTCACCGAGGCCACGCTGGGCGGCACCGGGAGCGGGCCCTGGCGAGGCAACCGTGACGGCCCGGTCCTTTTGACTCTAAACCTTTGCACACTTGACCCTAAACCTTCGTAGCTCCCACTCTAAACCTGTAGAAGCGCCACTCTGAACCTTCGAGCCGAGAATTGTCCTTTACACAAGTCCCAACTCCACGGGCCCAACGGGACCCACGGGACCAACGGGGCCTGGACGGGCCCGCCCTGACGGGACTAACGAGATTGACGGGACGTACGGGCCCGACGGGACCCACGGGCCCATTCACAAGTTCGATCGAGCTATACAAAAGCATACTTGCCTATATATAGAACCACTTCGTCGGCAGTAGTTGCCAGGACAATCTCTCGATGCAAGTGTGTGCATTAGCCTAGCCTTTCCTCATAGGCTGGAGTCTGGAGGGCAGCCCGCGAGCCAAGAGCCAGGACACAGCACTCCAAACACAAGCAATCACAATCGATAATTACAGTTCATGAAGCGACGCCCTTCAGACCCTTGAGAGCAAATGCACAGAAGAGTTGCTGTAGCAGGACGACATATTAACATGAATTCAAAAAACTCAAGGAACTAATGCGTAGGGTTATCGTCTTTTTGGGGGATGCCCCCTATCGTTTTTGAGGAAAACACAAAATCACACTCTTGGATGAAACGCCCTTGTATAAGTATTTTTGAAAAGGACTCATATGTCTTTGCTCACCCCTCCCCAGTAACCTGCAAACGGGTAACCGCGACATCAAGTGAGAAACATCATCTGTCATCTCTATCTCCAGCTGCTCAAATCGATCACAGTGAGGCTGTCTAGCGATAAGGTTCTTTTTCTGGCTATTGACAATATATGACATTAATTGACACGAAGACCGACTGTCGACATGAAAAGATGTCATGTGTACACATCGTTGTTTGAGAGCCCGAGCCCTTGCTAGCGATTCAGCGGAGACACGGCGTAAAACAGTGCTTGATCATTTGATGGAGGGCCGAACCTTAAGGAAGGTCACTCTAAACCTTGCCAGGCTCACTCTAAACCTTTAGAAGCAACACTCTAATCCTTAAAAAAGGGTCACTCTAAACCCGGACTTGCTCACTCTACACCTTTTTGTAGGCTTGGCCTCTCAAAGGTTTAGAGTGAAAAAAATTGATTTCAGCAGCCATTCCAAAAAGGCCCTCGGCCAATTACTTTTTATCAATGATTCAATTGGGTCGGTGCTCAAATCTGGACAGTGGCCCTTTTGACTCTAAACCTTTTGGAGCCGGGCTCTCCTCGGTCCGGTGCCGGCAGCTGCGGCTCTCGAGTCGGACCCCGACATGACCTGCCTTGGACCCGTATTTTGGGGGTTTGGTCTTGGGGCCCCGAAAAGCAAAAATCGACCCCATGGTTCCACACAGACTGTGGGCTGTTCAAGCTTGCTATAAGCTATACATAGCTATACCACAATGTCCGTCTCACTCACCTGTTTTTCCCTGCGGGCGCCTTGGAAGCGATCACCGAGCTGCAGCCGTCGCCGCGCTCCACCGTGCCGGGGCCTCGAGGGGTGTTCCGACGCCGAGTGGAACCTCGTCCGACTTCGGGTGTTCCTAACGGTCCGCTTCTGGCGGCCAGGTGAGGTGGTCCCCTGTTTCACAGGTGGCTGGTACCCTGAAGCTTCACGGGTGGACACACGGTCCACGCTCCGGAGGTATTCTCAGGCGGCGTGAGACTCAAAAGCCGAACGCGAGCGAGAACAAATGCAGAGAAACACTGCCCAGAAGAACGTGGCTCTTCAGTGCCAATCGAACCTGAGAACCTCGTGCGTCCTAGGTTTGGGGATGTTTTGCGCACCGATCAGGAGAGATCTTAAAGAACCGCAGCTGTGCCAACTTGAAAAAGGGATCAGAAGAGAAGTGGATGAACCTCCAGGATTCAGAACTCAGCGCCGAAAAGGGCAGGGCATTGGGTGGCTCACCAAAGGTATACCCTTCCCTTTCCTCCCATGACCCACTCTCATGTCTCTGCTAGTGTGGCTCGTGTGGTCCAGTATTGGGGGTTGTGGTAAGAGCTGAGTTTGAAGTCGTAGGTCGTGTTCTCGCTTTGCCGAGATGGTGGCGATGCACGTCTGGCAGAGAGGCTAGAATCGAAAAAAATGAGTGCGGCCTATACAGACACACCTTGAAACAGGCCTGTCTACTACCAGGACCCTCCAAGGGGTGTCCAAAGGACTACCCCACACTGCCGAAAAAGGCTTCCAAACAGGGCATCCCTTGGAGGGTCCTGGTATATACAGGCTTGTTTCAAGGTGTGTCAGAACACACAAACCTGCCATTGTGTTCACCGTCAGCGCTGTCGACTGGACCACTGGTGGACCATCGGTGGAAGCGTCACCCTCGACCGCCGACGCCACGCGGGGAGCGCGGGTGGGCCAAGAGGCCCATGGCATAGACGGACTCGGACACCTGACGGGGTGGAGGCCAGAAGCTACTAGCTTGCAGGCCAGACGCTCCTAGGGTGGAGGCCTGAAGCTACTATAGTAGCAAGAAGCTACTAGTGTCGGTCGCTGCAGCGTCAGCGCGGTCAGCTGGATACCATGGATCGTTGAGGGGCCACAGGCGTCCTTTTCGTGGCTCCTCCCGGCACTGAGCTCCATCCGAAAGGATCCAAAGACCAAACCCAAAACATCCCTACGATCCCCCTCCCCATCCAAGCTGGGCTGAAATCCACAGGAATCGGAGCCACCCCGAAGTCCGGAGCTCGCGGACCTCGGTCGCGTTTGTTCGGCGCCCGCCTCGCGCTCCTGGAGCAGTCGCACCAAGGTGCTCGGGCGGATCCGCTTGAAGATCTGCGAGGGGCCGGGGAGGCAGAGGAGCCGAGGCACTCCATGGACCACTTCATTCACTTTTAACATCTTTTAACTTAAAGTTCACAACTAGACTCACAGACTAGACTCCGAAGACCACTAACATCCACGAACTCTCATGTTGCATCTGCAGTACTGTAAAGTCTTCATGAAAGTTCCGTCCCCCAGAAGCCAGCTTTGTCAGCTTGAAAAAGTCGTCTGGGAGGAGGTTGATTCATGAAACGCCTACAACTCTCATGTTGATCGGTCCATCCGTCCACATCCCCGTCTTTAATTCATCCGTCGTCCACCCGTGTCGTCTCCGCGTGATCGGCCTCATCCTTCCGCTTGGCCGTGACGTTGGCCGAATGCAGCTGGCCGAACCACGAAAGGGCCGAACCACGGCGGATTTCGGGATCAGGTCGAAGGGGTTGGATCGAGTGGGTGTCCATGAAGTGTTTGGGACTGGGAAAGAATGGGAATGTCGGAAGTGAGCATGTGAGTGCACTAGCTTCAGATCTCATGATTACGACCACCAACCTAGTGGGTGCGCAAACCTCCGCCAAGAGTGACCAGTCGTAACGACCTAGTCCGAACGACCTCGTGAGTCCGTCCGGAGGAGGCCGCTGGAAGCGAGAAGCGACAGCATAGGACCACGAAGAACAGGTCTTCCCGAAAAGCCAGGTGTTTGGGGGCACCAAAAAAGGGATGGACTTTGGTGGAATTTGAAGGTCCATCAAATCCGCGCCAAACTGTGACCTCCAGGGCTCTTTCCAACTGGCGCCACTCTCCATTTCGCACTAGCAGAGTCGGATGCTGGTACACGTGTTGTTTTTGTTCATGAATGTTCTTCAGCCCCGAACACAGACGGGCCCCTCAAACACATAGCGTTTCGGTGGAGAAGGGACCCCTGCCATGGAGGGGTAAGGGATCAAATAAAAATAAAAATAGGTTCAAAAAAAATATTCAACGGGGATCAATAAAAAAAATAAAAAGGTCATCAAAAAAAATATTCTAGCCACTGAGGATGGTTGGGGTAGTAGTAGTAGTAGTAGTAGTAGTAGTAGTAGTAGCAGTAGCAGTAGCAGTAGCAGCAGCAGCAGTACCAGCGTAGCAGTAGCAGTAGCAGTAGCAGTAGCAGTAGCAGCAGCAGCAGCAGAGCAGCAGCAGGAGGAGGAGGAGTGAGTAGTGAGTAGTGAGTAGTGAGTAGTGAGTAGT